AGTCAGCATTCACAGATTTGACACAATTACAGCTGGATACACTGTGACCTGTCACTTAGTCTGTTTAATCTTTTATAGGTAATACACGAAGTATATTAGCCTTTTTTCTATTTTTATACTGGTAGTGTAGGGACCTCAGGTTGGGACCCCCTATCACATTTCATAATCAGCACAACACATACTATAAACAATCCATAAGGTACAGTACTAAATACGTTACTATTTTGAGAGACTAAATCTAAAACATAAAGAGGGTGGGAAAAGAAGTAAAAAAGAAGGGAGGGATGTTTTACATATTCGGTAGAAACATGAAAGTCTTATTTGTAATGTTAAGTTTTCTGATAGCTATATTAAAAAAGTAAAAAGAAATAGGTAAAATTTTAAAAATACGTATTACATAACCCAGTATATCTAAATTAGCTTTATAACATATAAAAAAAATTCAAGAAATTGATATTTTATTCTTTTTTTCATCCCAAGTCTTCAAGATCTGATGTATATATTATACTTATAGCAGCCCTCAATCTGGACTGGTCACATTTCAGGTGCTCAACAGTCACACATGATCAGTGGCTACTCTGTTGGAAAGTACAGGTCTAAAGCATACCCTGGAATACCCCACTTAAAATATCTAGTACAAGCGCCCCAAGAATTAAAGATCTCCCAAATCTGAAATTTCAAAATCTGAATCCTTGGGAGTTTAAAAAGGTCTGAGTCAGAAACAGTGCCACTATTGAAAAAAGAAAAAAATACCTCTAAGACATTTAAAAGGATGTCTCTTTATCTTTGCTTACAATGTTTAATACTGGAGGTACCAGAAAAGGGCAGGGCGGGGGTGGGGAGGACCCAAGGAGAGGGAGAAAAAGTCTCTAAAATCACCATTCTAATTCATCCATCTATACATCTAATGCCTCCAACCAGTCACCCACTCACCTTCCTTCCACTCACTCACTAAATACTTATTAAGCATTATAATTGGCTTGGCAGTCACTATCTACGTTCTGGGGCCATACAGGTACATAAAAAGTCCTTCTCACGATTCCTTATTGGTGTTTATTAAATATACTCATGTATACTCCATAAGATATCCACTGCAACACTGTTTGTAAAAGCAAGATTGTAACAACCAAAAAACTAAATGTCTGTTAATAGGGCTCTTATTAAATAAAAACTCAACATTAGTTGACAGGAGTAAAAGCTTTCTGATTATACTGTCTTCACATTCAACTGTGATCATGTACTACCTTTCCATGTGTACCTGTAAGATTTTTCTGTCATGTCTCAAAAGTAAAGGCTTTAAGAAAGGAAAAAAAAAAATTGTATGGTATAGCCACATAATGGAATACTATGCAGGTCATAAATCAACCTGTAGTACTATGTATGCAAATGAGGAAGAAAAAATGAAAACAAATCCAAGCTGTATGAGTTATATTGTTAAATTAAAAACAAAAACAAACGGGAGGGGGGAGAACACAGTGTTAAAAAAGAAAAAAGTAAAGATATACAGATATGTTTGTATAGCATAGACCATCTGGAAGGCTATACAGGAAAATGGTAAGTTACTACCTCCAAGGAGACTTGTAAGAAGGGATAGGAAAGGCAAAACTACTTTTCACCAAATATCCTTTTTAACCTTTTGAATTTTTGTCCCATATACATGTACTAAAGGAAAAGGCTTAATGCTCACTCTTAAGAACTCATGGTAAAGTTGGAATTAAGACACAGAGACAAAAATTAATAAATAATCAGTGTGCATAAGGTACAACAAAGCAGGGGAGGGCATGATTAAGTCCACTGCTTGGATGGTCAAAAGAAGAATTTGTCACATGCACAATATTTATCCATAAAAATAAGCTATGAACATACCTATGCCCTCAGACTAATTTATCCTAGAAATGTCTTTTCCTGACACACCAAAGGAAAGTAAAACTGTCAGACTCCCCACATTCTAGGAACCTCTTACCCTGTTACTGTTGACTCTGTAGACAGCAGAGCTGTCAGTGATGGAAGTCTGAGTGTCTCTGTAAAGGCCTGTTAACAACTGTAAAACAAAACAAAACAAAACAAAACACAATATGGGGGAGATCAGAGTAAACATATAAATAGCAAACCTAAAGAAAGTAACTTTGCTCTAACTCTCCTAGGTGTAAGGTCAAATAAACGAATGTTACTTGCAATTGCTGAAAAGGACCATATTAGTTTTTCTTTCTTTCTTTGCTTGTAGAAAAATCTTATTAATTGCAAACTTCATTCCCCTCTCCTTAACGAGAGGAGGGGGATAACTATTATTTTTAAACTATTATTTTCAAATAATAGTTTCAAATGGTTAGTGGCCAAATTTACTGACCTTGCATCAACATTAACAAACATCAAAGTGGAAGGGAAATAATTTAGACTCTCAAAAAGAAGAGTAATCAGAAGAAAACCTCTGCTACTCTCTGTAGCAAAAACCAAACATTTAAAAATACTACATAGGGCTTCCCTGGTGGTGCAGTGGTTGAGAGTCTGCCTGCCGATGCAGGGGACATAGGTTCGTGCCCCGGTCCGGGAAGATCCCACATGCCGCGAAGCGGCTGGGCCCGTGAGCCATGGCCGCTGAGCCTGCGCGTCCGGAGCCTGTGCTCCGTAACAGGAGAGGCCACAACAGTGAGAGGCCCACGTACCGCAAAAAAAATAAATAAATAAAAATACTACATGGACTCAAAATAAATATTAGTGAAAAGAAGCCTAAGTAGCCAATAGGCAGAAGAATCACCCTTTAAAAAAGTTTATTTGAGTCTCAGAAGAATTATACACTGTATACAGATTACTGCCCTCTATCTCTTCAGCTGTTCTGGCATCCTTAGCCATGACATGAAAGTAGTTAGTATATAAAACCCTTAAATGGGATAAGGGTTAAATGTCAGTATCTGGCAAGTACAAGAGAATAGAAATGGTCAAATTCCAGTTTAAGAGTTTTTCAAGAGTCTTTTCATCCTACCAAGTGATTCAAGAATTAACTCCCCAATTTGTCAGCACAGCTTCTTTGCCAAAGTACCCCTCACAGGAATAATGGGGTGCCCTAAAATTTCCTATCAAGTTTAAGAGAGGTGTAAATCAAAGAATTTACTCTGACAAAAAGCAATGTTTTCCCGGAGTCACAAAGGCCAACAAGAAGAACAGCTCTTTGACTGCTCCTTCTGCTCCGGATGAACTTCCAGAACACTGTGAAATAGAGAAAAACAACCAAAATTATGCCTTGATTATCAACAATATGCACGTATGGTTGGGCTGTGGGAAATTAAGTCTACCACGGAACACTTCATTCACCTGGAACTTACCTCCATTGTTATTACCACCATTATAATCATTATTGTTTTAGGGACTCCGCTGAGTGCCTGCCACTAACAACTGTCAATTTTTCTGCATCTGCACCCCCTACACCGACGGTGTACTCCTCATGCGCAATCTTGCTCATTAGCTTTGTATCCCCAGCGCCCAGTTCGCAAACATAGGATGCTCAAACTTGGAGCGACGACCACTGGAGTATTCGTAGCAAGAGCAATGGAAGGGAGAGAACCGCGCGCTCACGCAGAACAGGGGCTAGTAACGCTACGGTGCTCCTGCTGCTTCAGGCAGGAGGGCAGGTTGGTATAAGGGGTGAGTTCCCCTCTCTAGACGCCCCCTCGGTGCCATGTCCGTTCCGCGTCCGCGGTCTGCACAAGCCCCGTCCAAGCTCGGATCCCCGCCAGCCCTGCACCCGCCATATCTACCGGCCGCCTGTTTACCCAGCGTCAGCAGCACCGCGACGAGCGCCACCACGACTGACAGCAGCGTCGGGTCCCTCTGCCGCAGTTCCTGCCGCAAGGAGTCCAGGTAGAGCTGGAAGGCGCCTCCGACACTGCCGCCATTCCCCATCCGCCGGGACTCCGCGGAAGCCATGGCTGAGATCTTGCTAACCGGCACCGCAAAAGCAACGTGGCCCTCGGCTCTGCGCAGGCGTCCGAAGCGGAGCATCACGGGAGTGGTAGTTCCTAAGTTATATTTCCTCCTTCGGAGGCCGGGATCCCGAAGGTCCTGATGGTAGTTGTAGTTCTCTTGGACTGCGCTCCCGCCGAAAAGACTGAGCTGCCAGACACAGGTATGAGTTACACGCTCATCCTTTAAGATATGAGTCAGATGTCGCCGCTCTCTTTATGGTTCTTGACAAAATGATGGATGAATAAAATGAATGGCTCAAGAAATCTCTGCTGAGGATTTCTAGTCGCTCCCTTCGTGAGGTGAGGTGTCTTGTGAGGAACTCAAGCATTACACAAACATTTCATTGTAAAATCACGCGGCAGGAGGTGTGACTGAAGATGTAAGGTGCGGTATGGGAATGCAGAAAGGGGCGCCTAGTCCACATGGGTTCAGAGAAAAGCTCCCGGAGGAAAACGACAGGAACTGAGCCATGAAGGATGAGTTAGCCTCTGCAGGCGAAACAGGAGAAAGGGTGCTCTGTGCAGAAGAAAAGAGCTATTCAGTGTCCCTACACTGTAAATCCAGGGCTGCAACTGAGATACCTACGTTAAGGGAAGCAGCCAGGAAAGTCAATGGGACGGGCAGGGCCTGCTGAAAACTGTCACTCCTGCCCTAAGGGGGCAGCCACCACTCTGCCAGGCAGGTATGTGGGAGCAAGGTGGCCAGTTCTTCAGTTTTTCAAGAGAAGCCAGAAAGAAAGGTTTTTAAGGGAAATTTTCCACTTTTTAAATTTCAGCAAGTAATGAAAACTTGTAGCCCAAATACAACACCTCATCGGGTCAGAAGTAGCTGGCCTAGGGGTTGCCAGTTCGCAGTCTCTGTCATTAAGGTGTCATTTCAGCAGAAGTGGCAGGAGATGAAGCAGGAAATGTTGGCAAAAACCAGACATGAAGGGACTGTGTGTTATGCTGAGGAAACTAGACTTTATCTAGAGTGCAGTAAGAAGTTTCAGTTGGGAGTGAAATAGATGACTGGCAGATCAATGGAGAGCTATGGTTTGAGAGAGAAAAGACTGGAGGCAGGGAGACCAGCTGGGGCTGTTGCAGTGTTTTGGCAAATGATGCACAGGGTCTGAACCAGGGAAATGTGGAAAGTGGAAAGGAGGGCACAGACATGAGAGATATTTAGAAGAAAAATATATAGGATTTAGTGATTAATTGGATAAGCAGAGTTAAGGAGAAGGAGAGCTATCAAGACTGCATCTGAAGCACTTGGTGTGTGTTGCTGGGAAGATCAAAGTGCTTAACGTGAATCAGAGAACTCAGTTGAAGGGTCTTTGGAGCTGGGGACATAGCCAGGATGAAAACTGCCTCTCTTTTGTGTATATGGAGTTTCCGGTGCCTCTGGGAAGTCTGAAATCATATATCAAGCAGGTGATACAGTAAACAAAGGTGAAGTCAGCAATAGGTGCTAGATTTTCATTTGGAAGTCATATGTAAACAGGCGGTCATTAAATTGTGGAGAGCATGAGGAGTGAGGAGGAGAGGGAACCCCACAAAGAAGCCTGAGAAGGGAGGGTCAGCGACACAGGAGTAAAACGTGTCCTGGAAGTGGCCAGCAGCATCTCTGCAGCAGAGGTTGAAGGCTTGAGTGAAAAGTGAGCTCAGGGGGAACAGCGGGGAGGGGTGGGGGGAGATGAGGTAATGAGGATAATTGCTCACATTAATGAGTGGTTGCTAGAGCCAGCCATTGTTCTAAATACTTTAAATTTATTAATTTGTTTAATCCTCACAATGACCCATTATCCCAATTTTACAGAGGGAAAACTGGCACAGGGATTGAGTAACCTACCCACTGATTCCAGGCAGTCAGGCTCCTTTATGCTTGACTATATGCTCTAACACAGTAAAATTCATTTTCCAGGCATTTCATTGATAAATGTAGGCAACAGGGACTCCAGATTAAGGAAGGATGTTTAGGATGGGAGGTTAAAGTTAGTAAACCAACTACTATATTTTAAATTAGCATTATGAATTAAAACTGTCAGAACTGACAGTAATCTTACCACATTCTATTTCTTTTCTTTCTTATGGTCCTGATCCCTGCTCTGTATCCACCACCCAACACACACACACACACACACACACACACACACACACACACACACACACACACAGTTCCTTTATAATAACTTCTGTTAGGGACTAAAAATGCAGGGAAGGAGGAAGGGCCAGGCATGGAGAAGACCTACCAGAAACGTCCTCAGTGTATAGGGATTTTTAGTCAGAGCTACGTGAGTGAACAAGTGCCGTGTTGGTGGTGAAATTTGGGAATGAGGAAGCAGGGCTCTGATAAGACATGGTCATGCTGTTTTTCAATTTGTTTCCTGCGTATTATGAAGACAGAAGAAATGTGCACAACTTCCACCCTCGTGTTAGAAGGTGGTGCTGCCATTCTCAGTAATGAGAGCAGGAGAGAATGGCGTCGGAGGCTTCCTGTCCTCTCACGTCTCTGCCTCAGGGACTCCACAGGCTCCCAGAGGCTCTGTGGGGATGGATGTCAAGGAAGGACGTGCAGACACTGACTGCTGCTGGCTGAAAGTGCTCTGCTGCCTGATTCTAACAGCAGATGGAGAGTTACAACAAAACAAACATAGACAATTTTTTCTTCTCTTCCATTAATTAAAATGTCTCATTCACTGGACACATTTTTCTCTCCTGTTCCCAGCAGCTCCAAATCACAATGGAACCTATCTCAGCCTCAAGGACACCAATCATGTGATTCCCCTACTCTGGCTTATCTCTTTAACTCTGTTTCTTTGAAATAATGGAGGATTTTTTTAAAAAAAGAATTAAAATGAGACATTTATTATATTAAAAACTCAATATAATAATGAAAGATCAAAGAAGAAAGACACAAATCACCTTAGTTTTTATACCAATAGTATCTGGTGAACATGATTTCAGACATTGTACAGATATACTGACAAGAAGGCAGTCTAGAGGGAGGAATAAATAAAAATAGACAGAAATTATTTTCAGAGACTATGCCTTGCTGTGTTCACAGTCCCTAGAACAGTGCCTGGATCATGGTAGGTACTCAGTGCATTGTTGATAAAATTAGATTTGTTGGCTCATTGCAATGAGACAGACCACATGCCAGAGGAATGGTGGGACATCTCACCAAACAAAGGAAAAGAAAGAATTATTATAGGATTTGAGGTGAGGGTGGAGTTTAGGTGGATATTACATAAAGCAGAGTGTTGCTAGACTCAAAGCAAAGCAGGGCTGTATGTAAAAAGGTGAACATCAGGTCTGGTCTGCAAAGTGGACCCAGGGTCTGTTTCCTGGGTTACTAGAAAGTTGAGAGATGTGGACTGTTGTGTTCAGAACCCCCTACCTGCAGCTGTTCCCCAGAGCGTAGAGGAGTTAGGAAACAAAGGGGCAAACTGAAGAGTTGTTTAGAAGAGGCAAAACCAGCAGAACTTGCTGACATTGATGCGGAATGAGGGGAAAGAGAGAATTGAAATTTGACTCCTCAGTTTATGACTCCTGTGAGTGGGTAGCAGACCACGTCTTTACCCAGTATGAAATATATGGAAACAATAGTTGGATTAGGGAAGCAGGAGAGGGAAGGGGTAAGATGATCACCTCACTTTTCTCTCTGTTGGGCTTCCGACTGCTGTGCGAACTCTACCGTAGAGATGCACAGGCAGGAGGAGGTGTGAGTGTGGGATGCTGGAAGCAGGGGTGAGCACAATAGATGTAGAGATGCCCAGGAGTCATTCTCATTGCTTACGGAGGGCCTGGAAAAGCACTGGATCAAGAGAAGAACCCCGGGAAGATTACCCTACTTTTCAGAACTGGTAGGATGAGCCCACAGTAAGACCACAAGAGGACAGAGAGGTAGGAACCAAAGCGAAGAGCTGCTGTGTCAGAGAAACTGGGAGAGGGTTCCAAGGAAGGGTGAGTGGTCAGCCATATCAAGTTAGTAAACAGACTCAAGGATGAAAGAACAAGTTGGTTTTCACAGGTGGCAGGTGGGTGGTAACCTTGACCCGAGTAGCTGCAGGGATGTGAGTGGAGCAGAAGACTGATTTCTCTGTGTTCAGCCATTAATAACCAGTGAGGGGAGGGAAGAATAAGGCTCCACCTTTCAGGAGCTCCACTAAGAATGGGAGGAGACAGGACAGTGACTGCCATGGGAGGCGGGGTCAAGCTATGATTTTTAGCAAGAAGAGTTTCCAGTGATTCACTTTTCCAAGCAGTAAGAGTCAGGACTTCACGTATACCTGATGAAATTTATGAACAATATTTTAAATGTGTAAATCTTCTATATTCTTTTTCTGTACTGCCTTGAACGCTCCATCTCAATACTTACTCTGCATCCTCCTTCCTTCCCCTTCCCCAGCAACACACACACACACACACACACACACACACACACACACACACACACACACCACACAACACACACACAACACACACATACACAACACACACACACAGCCTTATACACTTGATTATATTATAATGACCATGCAGACCCCTTTTAGAAAGAATTCCTACTTGGACTGTACCCAGGAGGTATGGCTATGGGAAAGAGCAAATGAATCTTGAGCTCTGAAGGAAGGGCTAGTTGCACATGTATTTAGTCCTTCCAGACCAAACATTTCGGGAAAAAATGAAGTTTTTAAAAGATAAAACCAATAATAACTTTTATTTTTATTTTGTCCTGCAGAGGTGCCACCACCAAACTGAAGGCAACCAAACCACTCAGACCAGCAAAACGAGGGGAAGCTTATGGGTCCGGTAAGCTCCCATCTCCATCAGGTGGTGGCCCCACTCTTGGATTTTAAGCTCTGTGGAAACTGCAGGCTTCCAGGAGTTCTGTGGGGACAGAGCAGAGGGGTAGGACAGTTAATATCTACCTATATTTATTTTCTGTTAAGTGAATCAACAGTTAAGCCTGATACAAAAGTGCT